GGTATTAAAGGGAGGTTCTGGAGTTTCCATTGAAAAATAGGTCTAAAGTATCGTTTCAAAGAATTCTAGGCTTTAGCGAAAATACTAAAGTGTAAAGTAGGTTCAATTCTCACTTTATGGAAAAATGAGCAATTTTTCGTGAATGAACGATTAGCAGAGAAGATTGGTTGATATATAATGGCTAAATATAATCGTTGAAGGCGGGCCTTTGAAATTCAGTTGTTAAGTTCAGTAATATACTGATTAATGCGTCACTACTTTTGTTTGTACCATTGTAGCTAAATCCTTACTGCCGAGGTCGTAAAAATCTTAGGGCCTATCAATATGGTCGTAATCAATCGTACCAAAATATTTTTCTTAGAAATTGTAACACCGAACCCCTTTAAGAAATTGCTCTTGAAAACGGAATGGGCCTAACGTCTCCTTTAGCTAAATAGATGTGTATAAGAGACAGTATATATACCATAGGCCTATATCAAAAATAAAGAAAACAGTTGCTTCAAAATATACGGTGACTTTCAGGAAAAAAACGAAACGCAATGGCCTCTGAAGTAGAGGAACCTGTTAAAAATCAGTTAAAAAACGATTAACCCTTAATCTTGTGCAAACTCTAATGCCGGAATAAATGCTTGCAAAGACATACCGACGCAATAAACATCCACTTATGATATAAACGTTCCAATATAAAACAATCTAGGCCGCCTATAGGAGATAGCTTATCGTCTGAATATTACGGTACCCACCATATACATTCATTTTGAATGCTAATATGTGCACAAGTATGCAACAATTGTCATTAGTAAGATAATGAGAGTTATGCCATCAGAAGAGACAGCATACTCTATTGCCAGTCTTGACCGCAGACAATAAATGTTGACTAGACTGCTTAGGCCTACTACTCTGTACTGTACTACTATAGTGTAAGTTATCTTTATTCGTTTTATGACATCATAAATATGTATCAGACAAAAGGAGTATTTACTCTGAGCAATTATTGGTAACCAAATTAAAGTGTCATTACTTGTTAGTATATTTGATCAGCAACACGATAAAGATTACCATATCCTGTTGATACAGACCAAGGTGTGACCAATGATGTAGGCCTACAACCATTCATGCTGTCTGATTTATTACCAATATACAGTGACTATCATGCATTGAATATATATAGTTATTGGCATACACAGGATCGTCAGCATGTAGCCTGTAGTAAACACGTTCAGCTAATGGTTTGAGGGCATAATTATTCGGTAGGCCTCCATTGTATCAACGTAGGGTACCGTACCGTACGATGACTAGTGAACTTGTATAAATAACCTTTTACCCACATCACACTAACAAAGGGAAAGTTCTTTTGTAAATTTACCAAGGAAAGTGGGACAGAAAGCAACTAACAAGAGCGTGTTTTTGACTCAGAAAATAAAGTCAAACAATTACGTAGTGAAAAAACTTTTTTGCTAAGTAATGCGTTTGTTAAAAAAAAAAAAAAAAAAAAAAAAACACGTTTCGTTTGTCATGCTTGCACAGGAATGGCGTGAAGTGTTAGTAGGCTACTACAACCTCTAGTTCATTGATTTATACAAACCTAGGCCAGGCGTATCAATCAGATATAACTAAAATTCGTCAGGTTTATCAGGGAACAGTTCCCTGGGTTTATACTTGCTTATGCTTTTCTATTAAAAAAATAGAACTAGCATCCAGTGCAGGTAATAGGTCGATTATTAATCGTCTGCAAATTGTGATTTTCACGGCAGGAAATAATATAACTACCATTGCTTCCTTGATGGGTCAGCCCAGCCATGGTATTAAAGGGAGGTTCTGGAGTTTCCATTGAAAAATAGGTCTAAAGTATCGTTTCAAAGAATTCTAGGCTTTAGCGAAAATACTAAAGTGTAAAGTAGGTTCAATTCTCACTTTATGGAAAAATGAGCAATTTTTCGTGAATGAACGATTAGCAGAGAAGATTGGTTGATATATAATGGCTAAATATAATCGTTGAAGGCGGGCCTTTGAAATTCAGTTAAGTTCAGTAATATACTGATTAATGCGTCACTACTTTTGTTTGTACCATTGTAGCTAAATCCTTACTGCCGAGGTCGTAAAAATCTTAGGGCCTATCAATATGGTCGTAATCAATCGTACCAAAATATTTTTCTTAGAAATTGTAACACCGAACCCCTTTAAGAAATTGCTCTTGAAAACGGAATGGGCCTAACGTCTCCTTTAGCTAAATCATAGGTCTTGAAAACAGAATCAGCCTAACGTCTCCTTTAGCTAAATCATATGAACGCTAATCACAACATTTAAACATGCCATACAACAAGTTGTTGATGAATTTCTGTCGAGCGTTTCCTTTGTGATTACCAGAATTTAGAAAATATTTAAATTGTCACTAACAACTAAACAAATTGGTCAAGAAACGTTTTCCTTATGTGCATAACATACAGTATAATATTTTATGAATAAAATATAAAATGATTGAAATTAAGTTCTATCCCGTATCAAATAGGCCTATAGACAAAAACATGTGACAGGCCAAAATATGGTTATGATGACATCACATCATTACCATACTCTTTTGAATGTAAACAAAGTGAATTTTCACTCGAAAAGAGTGACTACTCCAATTTCACTCTTGCTCGAGTGAAAATTCACTCTTAAATGAGTGAATATTTTTCTTAAAACAGTGAAAAATTACTAAAATTCACACTGAATAAAGTAAAATCTCACTCTATTTATTCCACTCCATCAGGAGTGGTCCCTGTAGGCACTCTTTCACTCTTTTTTCACTCTTTTGCATTTTGAGAGTAGGCGTATCATGACTATATATGGGTATACATCACTTTTTGTCAAATACATGTTTAGTGAGCGTGTCGGATTCCACTCAGGTGTTTCTGTGTCTCGAGTTGCCAATTAATTATCTAGACAAAGAATGTTACGAATGACTGAGGGGAAGTCAATGTATGCACTTACGGGGAAATTGAAACCAACGTAAAAACTGGAAAAAGGGAAAATGTTTCTGAGTTTCTGAATTTGACAATACTGATATAATAACATTCTTACTCGACTCTCCGTATTTATATTTAGACTAAATAGGCCTTCAAAATTCGAGATTCAAGATAACTTTGTCTTATATAAAAATACCATGAACCTCCACGAAAGAAACCATGATCAAATACTGTACACTTCTTTCTCTTTGAATTTATATAGATGACTAACATACCATGAACATAACTGGGACCCTTTTTAAAAATCTTTAACAAATGATACTGCTTACCTTTAAAAAGAGGATTGTTTCGGATTCTGGACCACTCTCAACTCATTACCACGACTGAATACCGCAGAGGACTTCGAATCACTTTTATATGGGGGCTTGTCATTAAACAATCGTGTTAACAGGGCAAACTAGAGTGTGGCGCGTCGCATGCAAACAGGTCGTTGGTAAGTTATGCTTACACCTATTCAAAGGCTTGTATTACGAAAGATTACTGGTGAATAGTCGATTGTTTATGTGTATGCCGAGGAACTTATGAAGTGTCGGTGTAGTGACAGATTATTTAACCGGCCGCAAAAATTCATGTGTTGGGGGTCACTAAGGAAAAGGTAGACCGTAGATGATACATGTGATGATACATTTTAATTGATACGCTGTGGCATCTTAGGCCAAGGCCTCGTAGACCTAACATTATTTTAAAGGTACAGTAGAACACCTATTACTTGTTAAGGGCACTCTTTCGGGACAAAAAATGTTCCTTAATTGGTGTCACAAGAATTAAGGTTGGCCGTTGCTTGGTACTTTCCCTCGTTTTGTGACCAAATAAGTGTCCCCTAAATGGGAGTGTCACCATTAATGAGAGTGTCCCATAAGCATATATGAAAGGTTATCTATATACACCTAACTCCAATATGCCATTTTAATTTTTTTATACATTTTAAATTTTATTCAGTAACTTTCTGTTATAATATTCTATTGAAAATAAGGTGGCAGTGGAATTAAGCTTCCATTTACCAATGTACTTTTACGTTCGAGCCTTGTTCAGAATGCTCCAAGATTATACAGATATCGTCTAAAAATCTGTCAGGCTGTTGCCTGTACCTAATACAATGTTATGAAAGGACAGTGGTGTTTCTAATTTAAATCTATAATTGATAAAATTCCACATTACACTTGCTTCTTTACATTCCAAAATATAATCTAATTCATCATCCAGTACATTGCATTCAATACACCGATTATCATTAACAATCTTATATTTGAATAATAATTTTCTTGTAGGTACAATCGTGTGAAGTAATACTTAAAGTTCAATTGCCTAATTACATTATCCTTATTTTTGAGTTTACTGCGCGCCAGGTGTGTATCCAATCTCTGTTTTCAGTTTACCAACTACATCAAAAAAGGTGAGTTGATGTGTTTTTATG